GCTCTTTTAAGCAGAAGTGAAGCTTTTGGTTTTTTTCTTTCAGAACAAGAGAGACCCACGGTGAGGAGGCCTGAGGGAAGCACAGGTAGTCCTCGACTTACAACGGTTCGTTTAGTGACCAAAGTCACAACGGCGCTGCGAAACAGTGGCTTTTGGCCGTTTCCCACGCTTACGGCCCTGGCATAATCCCTGGGGTCTTGTGATCAAAAACTCGAATGCTTTGGCACAACAGACTCGTATTTATGCCGGTCGCAGTATAACCGGGCTCACGTGGTCACCTTTTGTGACCTCCTGACAAGCAAAGTCAACGGGGGAGCCAGATTCAGTTAAACGGCCGTGTTACTTACTCAACAACTGTAGCGATTCATTTAACGGCTGTGGCAAGGAAGGTCATAAAGTGGAGGAAAATTCACTTGGCAGATGTTTCCCTTAGCGGCAGAAACGTTGGTCTCAATTGTGGTTGTAAGTCAAGGACTAGCTATAACTGGAAGTGTAGTTTTCAGGATGCGGTGTTGCTTTTTCCCGTCCCTCAGTCTTTCTTCAGAGTTGTTGGGGCAGCCGCACTTCCCTAAAAACAGTTTTATTTTCCTATTGGTTTTAAGCGTTTAAACGAGGGTGTCACAAAGCTTTACTTGTATTATAAATCTGTTGCTGGGCAAGAATTAATCTGAGGAAGCCTTGGGCATTTCGGATGGCTTTACCTAGAAAGGTATTCTTAAGCATTGAGATGTCCGGAGAAAGGACTCGGGAAGACAGTCATCAGGGAAAATACCTTATATGAAATTACTAGCAATATGGTGAACATCTAGTGACAGTGGCTTTACTTTTTGTATCTCCAAGTTAAAAAGATCAGGCTGCAGAAATATATTTTGAAAATATCTTCGGGTAGGACGGATAATGTTGAAGTAGCCGTTGCTTCTGTCTCATTCTGATCATCCTCAACCAGCATGGAATTGGGAATTTCAACTGTGAATTAGGCAGACCTGATTTTTCTGTAAATGGGAGACAGTCTGTCAACTGAGTGCCTGTCAACTCTAGGGGGGGAAATGCAATTCTGTCTTTGGTAATCAAACAACTGCAACCATCAGAAATATATATAAAGTTTTTTAAAAAATAAAGTCAGAAGTCAGGAACAATTGCTAAAAATATTAGATAGGATGTTAATCAAGTACAGCATATTCTTTTATTGTTGTCTCTATGTTTGTGTGTCTTTATTTCCAGTTAAGGGCTGATTATTATGACCCAGACCTGAATCATAATGTATAATGGCTAGGAATGAAATATGCATCTGGAACTTACTTAAATCCATCTGCGAGGCATAATGGAAGAAAGCTTGAAAACATCCCTTCCCTGCTAATAACTAGGCAGTCATGTGCACCTGTGAAACTGCCTGCAAAATACAGCAGTTACATCTTATTAGTGTTCCCTAAGTAGCCTCGAGGTTGTGTGTGCAACTTCATTTTCCTGACAGTGTGGAATACAACTGAGTAAGGGTAAGAACAGAGTGAAAGAAGCCATAGTTGGCTATAACCACTGGTTATGTTTTTAGCTCTTGACTCTGTCCTTGCTTACTCATGGTTTAGTTTAACCATGTTTGTCTGAATTGACCTGGATGTTTTAGATTCACACAACATATCAAACCATGTACTGATTACACTGACTGGATTTATATAATATGTTGTGTCATGAATTAGCCAACCATGATTTTGTCTAAGCTGTTCTGCAGGGCCATTTTATAAGTCCAGGCCTTGTGGAGGGCACTAAATCAAGGAAGGCAACTATAGCTATCTTGCCAGCCAGCTGTCCCCCCATGCCATCTTTAGTTTTCTCCCCAGAAAGCACTTTTCATAGTTAGGTCTGTGCAACTCTTAATGTTTTTTTTTTTAAAAAACCATACCTAAATAAGTTCACTACAACAAGTATATATTTACACATTTAATTGCCATCACAGACATGACTTTTTTCTATAGGTCAGTGTTTGGATTCAGAGCCACACTAATATGGCCGGTGACAGGTGCTAAGAAGCAATGTGCGATACTTTATCTCAGTGTTAATTGCAGAAGTACATTTATATGCAAGAAACCCAAGAAACCTTTGCACTGCATAAGTTGGAGTTTCATTTGATGTTTACTTAATCAGTTTGTTGAATAATTATTATTGGATTACACAAAATTCTGAGCCATTTTGGTTATACAAAAAGTTTTACCCAAACTGAAGGAGCTCTTAGTGCAGTGTGTAAACTGAGTCTGTACAACTTCTTAGAACTGTGTGTAATGTATGTATTTCTATACTGTATAGAGCATTTTGTCTTCTTATTTTTTTTCTACAGATGACCATGAGAATTTGGTTGCTGCTGACTACATGGGCAAAAGTTCAAGATTTTTAAGTGGACCTTAAGTGGATGCTCCCCAGACCATCTCAACATAAGTAGAAAACATGAATCTTCAAAATGATGAGGCAACATCTACATCCATATTTGCCTGGAATTATCTTCTGTGGGAAGTTCGTTTGGCACTAGTGGCCTTTGGCTTCTTTTTCTACTTGGGAATATTTTGCTTTTCACATTTTTGGTCTTCCTGGTTGAGCAGAACTTACCGCTCCTTGTCGGCGAAGGAGAAAGTCTTTTGGAACCTGGCTGCTACACGAGGCGTGTTCGGCATTCAGAGCTGCGTGGCTGGCTTCTGGGCTTTACTCCTAGATCCAGTTTTTCACGCTGACAAGGTTTATTCCCAGCAGGACTGGAGTTGGTTCAGTTGCCTCATAGCCTCCGGCTTCTTTCTGCTGGAAAATGTAGCCGTTCACGTCTCTAATTTTATCTTTAAAACGTTTGATTCATTTGTAGTTGCTCACCATTTTTTGGCCTTTGGTGGATTTTTGGGTCTGATAACCAACATAAAATCTGGACATTACATACCTTTGATGGGGATGCTACTTGAGATGAGTACACCTTTCACTTGCGTATCTTGGATACTTCTAAAGGTGAGCGAGAAGTGAGCAAAGAAGAGCTATAGTTGCTACATAAAATTACATATCTTGTCTGGACTAGTTCCCAGTGGGAGTCCATATGGCAAAACAGGCTAGAAGTGCAGCAATTCTGAGAGCGTTTTATTTCTCAAAGTTCAGGCTACAATTCTCTCTCTTCACTTTTTTCTTGCTGAATCTCCTATCTAGAATCTAATCCTCCATCTCCTCTCTGTTATTGTATGCATTTCCAGAGGCTCTGACTGATCAGGCCTTGACCCATGTCTGAGTACATAGCTGCTTGGAGGTCCTCACTGCTAGTGTTCTTCATCTACCAACAGATGTAACTGTTACAGAAGAGTGTCATAATAAATGCTCACTTGAAAAGATTAGCCGATTCTCAGATCTAGAACATTTAAGTGGTAGAGCAACAGGTAGGAGCAACCCAATTGAATAATTAATTTTAATAGGTCATGAATCTTGAGTGAGCTTTTCTGGATGGAATATTAAATCTATTAATTCAATATTGTGTTTATTAAATTTGCTACTTTAAATTTAAATGTAACTTTAAATTTAACTTAGGACTGTGTTTTAGACTACAAATGCATCCAAAACACCCGTTCTGGAAAAATATTGTAGAATCAATGAATCTGGTTGGGGTAAAAAAATATTCTGTACTTGTCCCCAGCCAGTTTGGGGACGATGGGAAATATCACTGGAAGGATGTTGAAGCATTTGAGACTCAAAATAATGCTGGTAGAAATTAGCCATGTAGTTTTCAATTCCATTCAATTGTCCTATCTCTGTGTGTGTGTGTGTGTGTGTGTGTGTGTGTGTGTGTGTGAGAGAGAGAGAGAGAGAGAGAGAGAGAGAGAGCTCTGTCCTT